AGACTCTCACACACACACAGACTCACACACACACACACAGACTCACACACACTCTCTCACACACACACAGACTCACACACACACACAGACTCTCACTCACACACACACAGACACAACAACAACAACAACAACCGCCATTCGCCACTAAGTGGCGGTGACGTCACCACGACGCTTGTGCCAGGCTATGTGCACCCTGAGGCCACGTGAAGTGTCGAACGCCCGCTGGCAGGAGGTCACGGGGCAGACCCAGGTGCCACGGGTCGACTGACTGAGATGACTGGCTGATGCACCACCTGTGCCCCCTACTGTGCCAACCTGCTGTGCTTTAGCCACCCGGCGCTCCGCTCGCTGTTGTGAGCGTCGCTCCTCCGCCCTCCGTTGTTGTTGGAGGGCGACTGCCTCCAACTGCCCAGTAGCATCCTTCACGAGCCTCCTCCACAGAGGCCGATCTTGACACCGCTGGTACCAGTCATCGGCAAGTCCACTCAGCTCCACGTCCTCCTGTACCACATCACTCCATCTCTTCTCTAGCCCGTGCCGCGCCCGCTTAGCCCCCTCAATCCGGCCAAACAAAAGCTGTTTCGGCATGCGGTGGCTGGGCATGCGGGCTACATGACCCAGCCATCGCAGCCTTGCCTGCCGGAGGAGCTCACCGATGGGACCCTGCCCAGATCTTTCAAGAATTTGTGAGCTCCTCACACAATCCAGTCTGGTTAAACCCAGGATGGATCGTAGGCAGGCCAGCCTAAATGTTTCTAACCGGCGAAGATGTTCCATTAGGGGGGTCCACGTTTCGCAAGCGTAGAGAAGGGAGGGAATGACCGTGGCCGAGAAGACCTGAAGCTTAGTGCGGAGCGACAGACCAGGTAGCTTCCACACAGCGTTACGCAACCGATGAAAAGATATTGCCGCTCGACTGATTCGGAGTGAGACCTCTGCTGTTAAACTGGAGCCAGTCATAAGCACACTGCCCAGGTATGGGAAACTCTCCACTCTCTCCACAACTGCCCCATCACCGATTTGGAGTTGTGGGGGTGGAGTGTCCGATGGTACAAAATACCCAGGCAGGTGCTTAGTTTTGGTGGGGCTGATGGTAAGGCCCCACCTCTTAGTGGCACGCTCCAGTCTCAGCAGCAGCGTCTCCAACTCCTCCTCTGACTGAGCAGCTATTACCAAGTCATCAGCGTACATAACGTGGTTGAGCAATAGGGAGCCATCCCTTGACCGCACCCGGGCATCGATTAGCCTCCCATTATATCTGTACCATATGGAGATTCCCCCGGTACAGCTATTGAAGGCATCACGAACTACGTGGTCAAAATAGATGTTAAATAATGTGGGAGCCAGAGGACATCCCTGTCGCACCCCAAGGTGTACAGGGAATGGCTCTGACTCCCGGCCACGTAGTTTTACCCGGGCCCACTCACCATCATGAAGGTCCTTAATGATCGTGAGCAGAGGGTCAGGTACTCCAAAAGCACGAAGAACGACCCAGAGCCCAGGCCTACTGGTGGTATCATAGGCCTTGACCAGGTCAATAAAGCAGAGATGTAGGTCTTGTTGGAATTCCCTACACCTCTGCTGTAGCAGACGGACAGAAAATATGGCATCTGTGCAGGACCGCCCTTTCCTGAAACCGCATTGGGGCTCCGCAAGCCTCTCCTCAGCGTGCCTGGCAAGGCGATGCTGAATAATCCTTGCCAGGACCTTTCCCGGCACACTGAGGAGTGAGATGCCCCTGTAGTTGTTACAGTCTGTGCGGTCCCCCTTCTTAAAAAGGGGGACCACCAGGGCATCCTTCCAATCCTGCGGAACCCGTCCAGTGGTCCAGACTGTTGTTATGATGTCATATAGGGCAGTCTGTGCACAAACGCCACCCTCCCTCAGCACTTCGCTTGGGAGATCATCTCTGCCCGCTGCCTTTCCTGGTCTCAGACTCCGGATCGCCTTCAATACTTCCTCAGCAGATGGCACCTCAGCCAGCCACTCACAGGGGGTGACTTCATCCAATATTTGAGGCACCGCATCCTCAGCAGGGTCATCCTCACTTTGTGCCACGATCTTTTCCTGGCTGAGGGATTTTCCCTCCCCCAGGACCTCACAGAAATGCTCAGCAAATCTGCGAACCTGTTCCTGGGGGTCGGAAATTGGATCACCGTTTTTTCCCCTAATGATGGTAATAGGTGTGGCGCTGCAGGTTACTTTTTTGATGGAGTTAAATAGAGATTTGTGATCACGGGCCACTGAGGCAGACTCCATCTCCTCAGCAACCCGCGACCACCACCCATCCTTGCAGCGCCTCACGGCTCTCCGAACCTCCGAGCGAAGGCTGCGGTAAGCCTCCTCATTCTCTGACGTGGGATTCTGTAGCCGATGACAGTGGGCCTGTCGCTTTTTCTCAACCATCCTGAACAACTCCTCTGTCATCCAGGGTGTCTGGGGAGGTCTGGGCCGCGTACCCAAAGCAGCCATTGCAGCTGCATGAGTCACAGTCCTAAACCTCGCCCATTTACCCTCGACATCAGGAGGAGTCGGGGACGATGCCAATCCCAGCCGCAAGCGATGATGAAATTCTCGCTTGCAACTTTCATCAGATAACTGAGACCAGGCCACTTTAGGTTGGAATGGGGTCCTGGGTGTACACCCACCACCGGAGTGGAAGAATGGCAGGCGCATCTTACAGATGACTAGTCGATGGTCAGAGGGCAGATCAGCTCCACGGTAGGTCCTGGTGTCAAGGACATGGGCTCGCATTCGCTGGTCCGTCACTATGTAGTCCAGCAGATGTTCTTGCTTGGACCCGGCATGCATCCATGATGTTGTGTGGATGCGCCGATGCCGGAACAGCGTGTTGGTAATTACAAGCCCATGGGCTGCACAAAAATCTAGCAGCCTCCTACCGTTGTTATTGAGCTGATCTGGCCCATGCCCTCCAATCACTCCAGACCAGGTGCCAGTATCATGACCAACTCGGGCATTGAAGTCACCCAACATGATGACTCTATCCCGAGGGGCCACTTTAGCCAGCACCTGTGACAGGAGGTCATAGAAGGCATCTGACTCATCACACACACACAGACTCACACACACGCGCGTGACCGTGACTCGCGAGTTCACGGCGGAGACTGACGAGGTGACGTCACCTCGTCGAGTTTCCCAGAGCGCAAGGAGCTGTGGGCTTGACTGTAGCTGCTAAGACACCGAATGTTCAAACCGCTCACCCCCCCCCCCATTCACTCCCCCCCCCCCATCCCTTGGGACGGGGGCAGGGGTGGGGGGCTGTGTCACTTCGAAAGGCGACACAGGGACAGAAAATCAAAGGAAACAATCACCTGGGTTCCAAGTCGCGTCTCTCTCCCCGACGAGCAGGTGACGCTGATGCGGCCATCACTCGGAATCATCGATCGGATGGATTAGAAAATGGGCAGCTCGTCCTCCGGATCGAGCTTACCATCCCCTTCATCCCATCATCCCCTTCATCCCCTTTATCCCATCATCCCATCATCTCATTATCTCATTATCCCCCTGACCCCGATCATCCCCTCATCGCCTCATCTCCATCATCCCCATCATACCATCGTCCCCTCACCCTCCTCATCCCTATCAACCCCTCTCTGTGTAACTTGTATATTATATGGGTCTCTATGCATGTCCATGGCTTGCATATAGGTCTCTGGGTCTCTGTGTAGCGTATATATTATTTGGGTCTCTATGCACGTCTATGGCTTGCTGTATAGGTCTCTGGGTCTCTGTGTAACGTGTATATTATAGGTCTCTATGCATGTCCATGGCTTGCTGTATAGGTCTCTGGGTCTCTGTGTAACGTGTATATTATATGGGTCTCTATGCACGTGTATGGCTTGCTGTATAGGTCTCTGGGTATCTGTGTAACGTGTATATTATATGGGTCTCTATGCACGTCTATGGCTTTCTGTATAGGTCTCTGGGTCTCTGTGTAACGTGTATATCATATGGGTATCTATGCACGTCTGTGACTTTCTGTATAGGTCTCTGGGTCTCTGTGTAACATGTATATTATATGGGTCTCTATGCACGTGTATGACTTGCTGTATAGGTCTCTGGGTCTCTGTGTAATGTGTATATTATATGGGTCTCTATGCACGTCTATGGCTTGCTGTATAGGTCTCTGGGTCTCTGTGTAACGTGTATATTATATGGGTCTCTATGCACGTCTATGGCTTTCTGTATATGTCTCTGGGTCTCTGTGTAACGTGTATATCATATGGGTCTCTATGCATGTCCATGGCTTGCATATAGGTCTCTGGGTCTCTGTGTAACGTGTATATTATATGGGTCTCTATGCACGTCTATGGCTTTCTGTATAGGTCTCTGGGTCTCTGTGTAACGTGTATATTATATGGGTCTCTATGCACGTCTATGGGTCTCTATGCACGTCTATGGCTTTCTGTATATGTCTCTGGGTCTCTGTGTAACGTGTATATCATATGGGTCTCTATGCATGTCCATGGTTGGCTGTATAGGTCTCTGGGTCTCTGTGTAACGTGTATTTTATATGGGTCTCTATGCACGTCTATGGCTTTCTGTATAGGTCTCTGGGTCTCTGTGTAACGTGTATATTATATGGGTCTCTATGCATGCCCATGGCTTGCTGTATAGGTCTCTGGGTCTCTGTGTAAATCAATGAAATTCATCAACTCCCTGAAGTCGCAACGCGCGTGCCGTACGCCTCTCGGGAGCCTGGATTCGAACTCGCAACCCTCTTGTCTTAGCCTCGCTCAGCATCTCTCTTGTTAACCGAGTCGAGCCCCTCCACGGCCACCACCATGCGAGTAGCCCCTAAGATCATCGACCGACCGCCCGAGTGAGCGACCGGCATCGTCCCGAGCCATCGACCGAGTGAGCGACCAGCTCACCGATTGACTCCCTCGCTGTCCGTGTCATTCATTTATCGATTAGAGGTGGAGGGGGGCTGGGGGGGAGGGGGGGGGAGCTGTCGATAGATCGATTTCTCCACTCACCCTGCATCTGGGGTTGAGGCTGCGCGTTGAAGGCGGCGTGAGCCCCCAGGGAGGCGCGGGGGGCCGCGGGATGCGCCCCCCCTCCAGCGTGTGGGGGTACCCGCATCCCCGATCGTCGGAACTGTTCCAACTCGCACAGACGTTCCGGGAACATTGCCGCGCCGGCCTTCACGGGGTCCTCCAGCCTCTGTCTGTGTCCTGGTGTGACAACGTGTGGGGGCGATGGGGGGGGGGGGGTTGGGGGGTTTGGGGGGCACGGATGAGGGATGAGGGGGGGCACCATCACAACTTGTGTTAAGTTATGGTTGGGGGGGGGGGGGCGTTGTGTTTTGGAAAAAGAGAGAGCGGTGGGCGAAGTGGTTGGCGTCGGAACCATCAGCCGCGGTGGCTAGGAGATGTTAACTCCCTCGCCTGGTATGCAGGAGGTCGTGGGTTCGATCCCGAGTCTGAAGTCTGCTGCTGCTGTATATTTGGAGTTTGAGGTGTCTCTCTCCCAGTGGTGGCGAGGATTATTCTCCGTGTCTTCCGTTTTTTTCCCTTCACATTTAGAATCAACGTCACGCGTTTAGAGTGTTCGGCTACTGCTGTACATGTCCACATAAGCCACTTCGTTGAGCTATGATTTGTGGCCAGGCATCTTCTATATAGCTCAGTGGGCCTTACCGAGTGAAATCTAAAATATTTTCACGGGTTAGTTTCAGAAGTTCCTCATCCGGCGACACGGGCTCGAGTCCCGCTCACAGCCAACATCAGTGGCGATTATCTTAACCGGTCCCGGGCCCCCCCCCCCCCCTAGGTAGACTCAGCCATAAATGGTGAGACAAAGGCGGCCAAGCGTGGGGCTGCCAACGCCACCACTCCCTCGTGTGCCTTAACCGGCCTTCATCGGCGCTACATCCTAGCAGCTTTTGCCCCACACAGTCTGTGTGGCCCTATATGGGCGGCGATCCTTTGTCTATGCGCGTGTGGTGGCGTTGGCGCAGCCGTGAGCGCACACGAGTGTGCGCCTTGAACTTCTTTTGCACCGCACGTAGCCAACCGTGCTGATCGAAAGGTGCGAAATGAGGAGTGCATTGTCCAGTGCAGAGATAGCACGGCGCGTTCTCGTGCATTCTGTTTCGGCTGCTGCTGCTGCTGCACAGCAAACGCTGCTCAGTACGCACAGGGTGGCAGGGGGGGGGGGCTGCGAGGGGGGTGGTGAGGGGTTGGGGGGGGGGCTGCGAGGGGGGTGGTGTGGGGGGTTGGGGGGGGGGTAAGGGGAGGGTGGGTGATTAGGACCGAAGAATGGGATGCTGAGACGCAGCAGCGGCAGCAGGGGGGTGGGGTTATGAAGAGTGGGGGACTGTTTAGGCGAGGAGGGGGTTCGGAGTGTTGGGGAGCTCGGAGGGAGGGAGGGGAAGGTGATGGGGGGGGGTCGGTGGGGGGGGGGCTGGCGTGGAGCCACCAGGAGTCGCCCGCACGGACCGCGCGAAACCGTCCCAAGTCACGCGAGCCCCGCCCCTCGCCATTCCCCCCAACATCGCCCAATTCACCCCGCCCCTCACGCATCACCCACACGAACACGTTCGCTCGCTCACCAGCAAACTCACTGGCTCAGCAACATCCTCGCTCACCAACAAACTCACCAATACACTCACCAAGTCATTCCAAATCGCGCTCACCAACTCACTAGCTCACTGCTGACCTCCACGCTAACGCAACAATAACATCAACCCGCCACTCATCACTGAGAGCGTCACGTGAAGTTTGGAAGGATTTTCGCTTCTGACCGTAGGTCACGCGACAGACCCGGCAGGTGCCGTCGGTTGACTGACTGAGATTGATGGAAGATGCCCAATCTGTGCTCCCCACCGAGCCAACTCCCTGCATTTTACCGGCGCTCCGCGCCTTGTTGTGAGCATCGCTCATCTGCCCTCCGCTGTTATTGGAAGGCGAACAGCCTCTAACTGCCCAGTAGCAGCGTCCTTCACGAGCCTCCTCCTCCTGCTCCACAGAGGCCGAGCTTGACACTGCTAGTGCCGGTCATCGTCAAGTCCACTCAGCTCCACATCCTCCCGTTATCGCATCAATCCGCATCAGTGATCCTTCCAGCCGCTAGAGGCCGATACATTGGCCAGTGTTAAACATTCGTCGATTTTGTTTTAATTAAATCTTGAAAAATACGTCGCTTGCCCTGCGTGCTTCTCGAATGAAGCAGAAGATTGGTGCCGAATACAGCCACACGTGTAGCTTTGATCCTTACCCGTGTATCGATAGTTTTATTTTAACGTGCAATTGATATTTAGGGACTACTTTGTGTTGTCTTACTGTGGCCTGGGACTGTTTTGTTGTTTTGCTGCCTTGCTCCAAGCTTGCATTTAGTGTGTCAAATATCGGCTCGAATGTATGTTCTCATACAATTTGTATGTTACATAATTTGTTGTTACATTTTTGTGACTTTCTTACCCTTTCTCTATTTTTAACTCTTACCGTTTCTGGCATTGTTTGTTGCTGTAACTGTCTAACCTGCCCCTACTAGACATCTGTGAAAAAAAGAGCTTCATAGCTCATCGGATTCCTTAAGTCCACATTAAGATTCTGATTCTGAATGGGCTGGCGATTGGCTTGTGCCAATACAACCTCTTGTGAGACGGTGATCGCGTTGCGTTGAATAAGGGTCATTGCCCGAAACGTCGCCTATGTAGTTTTTTCTTCGCATAATTTATCATGTTAAGGCTATACGGGGTTACCCTTTTCGTCTTTGAAATTCGTATTTAGTTGAGCACGTTCGTGTGTAGGTGTGTTCGAGTGTTGTTGAGTCAGCGTGTTAGTATGAGAACCGACTCAGCCTTAAATGCGTATTTGGTGCGATGTGTAAACATCGCCACTGGGGAGACAAAGGGGGCTGGGATTGCTGCTAGCCACCCACCCTTCATAGATCCTCGCTAACAGCAATTGCCACAAATGTCTGAAAGGCTATACAGGGAATCTTTGTCTATATTTTTCAATTGCGTTGGTGTGTAGGGCTTACGTGAGTGATCTGTTACTAGAGTGAGCGTAGGTGAGTGCGTAGGTCAATGTGTAGCTGTGTCATTGTAGATATGAGTGTGTAGGTTTGTGGGTGTGTATTTATATATGAGTGTGTCGCGAGTGTGTAGGTATGTAGGTGAGTGTGTGCGTGTGGGCGAGTATGGGTGAGTGTGTTGGTATGTAGGTGAGTGTGCGGGTGCCTATGCAGGTGAATGTAGGTGAGTGGGTGAGTGTGTAGCTGAGTGTGCGGGTGTGGGTGAGTGTGTAGGTTTGTGGGTGAGTGTGTGTGTGTGTAACGAGGAGGGTAAGGAGGCATGGGGGAGGGGCTATAAAGGGCTGTTTATGGGGCTGGGGGCAGCCTTGACAACTCCGCATCGTGCCCTCTCCCCCCTCACCCCCCACTTTCGCCTTCAGGGCTCCGACCGAGAAGGGCTGGACCGGAGCCAAGTGTCTCGCCCGTGTACACGTGTGTGTGTGTCTGTGTGTGTCTTTGTTTTTACGTGTGTATGTCTGTGTGTATGTGTGTCTGTGTGTCTTTGTTTTTATGTGTGTGTGTCTGTGTGTGTGTCTGTGTGTGTGTCTTTGTTTTTATGTGTTTGTCTGTGGGGAGCGGTTTGAGCGGTAGTGTAGGAGTTGGAGCGGTAGTGTCGGGGTTGGAGTGGTAGTGTAGGGGTTGAAGTGGTAGTGTAGGGGTTGGAGTGGTAGTGTAGGTGTTGGAGCGGTAGTGTAGGAGTTGGAGCGGTAGTGTCGGGGTTGGAGTGGTAGTGTAGGGGTTGGAGTGGTAGTGTAAGGGTTGGAGCGATGGTGTAGGTGTTGGAGCGGTAGTGTAGGGGTTGGAGCGGTAGTGTAGGGGTTGGAGCGGTAGTGTAGGGGTTGGAGTGGTAGTGTAGTGGTTGGAGAGGTAGTGTAGGGGTTGGAGTGGTAGTGTAGGGGTTGGAGTGGTAGTGTAGGGGTTGGAGCGGTAGTGTAGGGGTTGGAGTGGTAGTGTAGTGGTTGGAGTGGTAGTGTAGGGGTTGGAGTGGTAGTGTAGGGGTTGGAGTGGTAGTGTAGGGATTGGAGCGGTAGTGTAGGGGTTGGAGTGGTAGTGTAGGGGTTGGAGTGGTAGTGTAGGGGTTGGAGTGGTAGTGTAGGGGTTGGAGCGGTGGTGTAGGGGTTGGAGTGGTAGTGTAGGGGTTGGAGCGGTAGTGTAGGGGTTGGAGTGATAGTGTAGGGGTTGGAGCGGTAGTGTAGGGGTTGGAGTGGTAGTGTAGGGGTTGGAGTGGTAGTGTAGGGGTTAGAGTGGTAGTGTAGGGGTTGGAGTGGTAGTGTAGTGGTTGGAGTGGTAGTGTAGGGGTTGGAGTGGTAGTGTAGGGGTTGGAGTGGTAGTGTAGGGATTGGAGCGGTAGTGTAGGGGTTGGAGTGGTAGTGTAGGGGTTGGAGTGGTAGTGTAGGGGTTGGAGTGGTAGTGTAGGGGTTGGAGCGGTGGTGTAGGGGTTGGAGTGGTAGTGTAGGGGTTGGAGCGGTAGTGTAGGGGTTGGAGTGATAGTGTAGGGGTTGGAGCGGTAGTGTAGGGGTTGGAGTGGTAGTGTAGGGGTTGGAGTGGTAGTGTAGGGGTTGGAGTGGTAGTGTAGTGGTTGGAGTGGTAGTGTAGGGGTTGGAGCGGTGGTGTAGGGGTTGGAGCGGTAGTGTAGGGGTTGGAGCGGTAGTGTAGTGGTTGGAGCGGTGGTGTAGGGGTTGGAGCGGTAGTGTAGTGGTTGGAGCGGTGGTGTAGGGGTTGGAGCAGTAGTGTAGGTGTTGGAGCGGTAGTGTAAGGGTTGGAGCGGTAGTGTAGGGGTTGGAGCGGTGGTGTAGGGGTTGGAGTGGTAGTGTAGGGGTTGGAGTGGTAGTGTAGAGGTTGGAGTGGTAGTGTAGGGGTTGGAGTGGTAGTGTAGTGGTTGGAGCGGTAGTGTAGGGGTTGGATGGGTAGTGTAGGGGTTGGAGTAGTAGTGTAGGGGTTGGAGCGGTCGTGTAGGTGTTGGAGCGGTGGTGTAGGGGTTGGAGCGGTAGTGTCTGGGTTGGAGTGGTAGTGTAGGGGTTGGAGCGGTAGTGTAGGTGTTGGAGCGGTAGTGTAGGGGTTGGAGTGGTAGTGTAGGGGTTGGAGTGGTAGTGTAGGGGTTGGATGGGTAGTGTAGAGGTTGGAGTGGTAGTGTAGGGGTTGGAGTGGTAGTGTA